CTCTTCAGCTGCTCTCTTGGGTGAATCTTTTTTCCCCTCTTCATATTCAAGGCTTAAAACAAGGAACGATGCCTTTTCACTCCCTTCCTCCGCCTCTACTTTGGTCTTAGTAGTGCTTTTAATAGTTGCTGCTGGGAAGATGACTGAACAAGGAAGGAGGGAGGGAGGAGGAAGGGAGGGGGGTAGAGGCTTTATGTATATTTACAGTGCACTTGATAGGAAATTAATATTTCTCCCTCAGGGCCATCACTCCCCTCTCCAACTAAAGAACCAAGGGGGAAGGGTGATTCGAAAGCTTGTTATTATTCCCTGCATACTCAACTGGCAGTTTTAGGATGGGCTGGATGGTGTGAAGCTGCATGTTGCATTGCTGGGTATGCAGCATTTCCTCCAAATGCTGAGTTAAATTTTGCATTGTTTAGGTCTGGCTAGTGAGGTTCTGCCTGAGCTACAGTTTAACAATGAACCTGTCTATACTATAGCAGGGACTGTGCTACCAACCACCATGCCTGGCAACTGATTTCTCAGCACAGTCACTCCAAGGTGGGGTCATTTCTAATCCATTCAATGTAGTTATTTTTGTCCTCTCCCAATAGTCTGACCTCAACCCGTCCTTTGGGTACTGGGTCTTGGTCAGTTCTGCTGTAGCTGTGGCTAAAAATGGGCGGCTTTGCTATCCTATTGCAAGGGCAAAGAGTTTATTGAGAAGCATTTCCATAAGCTCTGAAGTCCAAGGTTTCACCTGCCTCTCATCTCTCACTCAGCTCATTGGATTCATCACAGGACTGAAGCTGGGGAAGGTTATGCAAATATATGCGATCTAGGGCTCATTTTGGAATAAGTCAATCTAAATTAAAATTAATGAACAAAAAGTACAGAAACAGATCAAGCAATAAAACCATTTCTCTCTGGGTGGGTAGAGCTTTTTTTAGGAAACTATTTTTTTTTCTTTTTTATGGGGAAGAAGATTTTAATGCAATCTTGGCAAATGTAAGCCATCCATCGCTGTCCAGAGACCCAGCCAATATTAGCTGCTGGAATAATAAAAATAATACTTGGCCCTTCTCCATTCCTCCCTGATCCAAGGCACTGTTTCTAAACCAAAATCAATTAAGTCTTGCAACTCCTTTTTAGTCTGGTATTATCTTTTTTTGTTTTATTTTGGTTTTGGTGGGTTTTTTTTGGCTGATGAGCATACTGAGGTTTTGAGATGGGGCAGTGAATTAACCCAAAGTCCTAAGGAAGAGCCAGGAGTAGGATCCCTACATCCCGGCTGGTGCTTTAAACAACTCTTCTCCTTTCTATTCTGTCAACCAGACTATCAAATGAGCTCTGTGACCTGCGTCACACAAGTAGACATCCAGGGTTAGGTCATTGCTGAGCAACTGCCATCAACATTTGAGCACCTGGACTTGCCTAATCCATACTGAGTGTCTCCAGTGCAAGGTCATATCTAACACAAGTATGTGTTGCTGCATTAAGACTGGTGCTCTAGCTGCCAAATACTAAGAGCTCTGTTGAAAATGTGGCTCATTAATATTTGCCAGATGCCTCTGGAGTTCTCAGGTCTTCCTTTCTCTTGAGGGAGACCAATTTTAAGACTGAGCTTGCCCTGAGATGCTGATGTCTGATTCCAATCAGCCATCCAATTTAAGTGGTGGAGGTGCACTCTGACCATATAATGTGGATATTATTACACAGTGATAACTGTAATCTGAAAGGTGGATCCAAACAGACTCCCCTGAATTTGGGGGAAAGTCTTGATCTGGGTATGGGTCCAAATATGGCACCTCAGTCAGGTTAGTGCTTTAAACTATTCCACTTCTGTGTCAGCAAAAGGGATAGGACAGGGCTGGACTCTTTGGACCAGTTTGGGCTCTAGGGTTCCCAATCACATCAAAGGATTTACATGGTTTAAAATCAGTGAATGTTTTCAGTTTGCACTTTTCTGTCTGTTGTGGCTTGCTAGGGAAATGAGTTCTAACTCTAATGAAGTGCTGAGGGAAGGCTCTCAAACATAGCTGGGTTATTTTAAAAGAGTCTTGCTTCAGCATGGACAGGCTGTGGGCTGTGCTGGTTCTATGGAGCATTTCCATACTGTCTGGGGACAAATTCTGGTCACATTCAGGCCCAAGGTGAGCAGCATTTGACCCTCACATCTTGTTAGGCTTGCCACACTGTTCCTTCTCTTAAGTCAGTAGGGAAGGCATTGCAGGACTTGACTCATTTACAAGCCATAAGGGAGTTAACAAACCTTTTCTGCTGCCTGATTTTGACAGGCTGGTCAAAGACAGGTAGTTATTATTGCTCAATGGGACATCCCTGTATTACCTTAACCCTTCTGAATTTGTACCCTATTTCCTCATAATTCTTTCCTTTAGATGCACCCCATTTAAAACAAACCAGACATTCGGCTTTCGTCCAACACAAGGTCATCCTGCACTGAAGAGGTGGCCACTCATTGGAACTGCTTTGGTACTTAGGCCCATCCATGTGTTGGAGAAAGTAGGACAGGGTCCTAGGATAGAGGAGGCGACCACATTACTAGCAGAGGAAGACTGTGCTTTACAGATGGGATCTTAATCCATGGTTGGGAGTGGGCAGAAGAATTGGAGGCCATTAAAGAGAAGGCTGTTCTCTGGGCCTCTGAGGAAGCTCCATCCTCTGGTCATCAGATCCAAATGAACAGCTCTTTCTTCCTTCCCACCCTTGTGATCAAGGCATTAGTAACAATACAGACTATGAGAACTACAGCTAGGAGGAGACTAGCTAAAGTCTACAGTACATCCAGGGTCATTCTCCAATCAGTAAGTGTTTGGTGGAAAGACAGGTCTACCTCACTTCCACCCCCCACCCCTAGGCCATTCACCCAGTCACTGTTTTTATCTTTTTTCTCCTGATGAGCAGAACTGGACTTTGTCTGAAAAGGCCCTATCGGTTGTTTTCTTCACATGAATTCCTTTATCTGTTAAGGTTGGCAATTCAGAACAATGTCACTCACTCAGACACATGGCAAGCTCCGATGTAGTTGTCAGAGGGAGATGGCATGAAGGATGTGAGGCTGATCTCTAATAATTTCTGAGCTCTTATGTAACCCAGTTACAAGATAACTACAATGGGTTATTGGGATATTTATGCCTGGGTCCATTTTGTTCAATAGCAGGAGTATTGGGAAATGAGTGGAAGGTAAAATATTGCAACATGGTAAGCAATGCAACCTCTAGTTAACATTGCAGGGGTTATTAAGCAGCAGTGCCTAAGATGATAGCTGGGAAGGTGCTACTCTGAAGCCCCTGACAATGCTGTGAGACGTGTTTTGACAAGGCTGAGCCATTACACTGTAAAAAAATTCATTCTCTAGAGTTATGTTCAAGGAAAATAATTATGGAAATGTTTGTGGAAAACAGACTGATACAGAGGCAGGCTCTGCTGGGATCTGAAGAAACAAAACCTGCCTGTTTCCCTGACAAATAAGATGCTAGGGCTTAAGGGAAGCCACAGGTTGTTTTAAACCCATTTTTCTCTTTTGTTATGCTCTGTTCCTCCTGCGAAAATAGCAATTATGTAGTCTGAGAGAACTGTTTGGTCACCTGTATGAATCACTGGTCACAAGCTATTGAAGAAAGACTTGCAGGTGCAGAACTCAGACAGGCCTGCTAAGTAATCACGGTTGATGCACAGAGGGCTGTAACCCCAGGCCAGAAGTAAGCGTGGAAGAATCATAGAACTGCACTGCAGGAGAAGCTTGAGATATGATGCCTGAGATGCTTGGTGTTGGGGTGGAAGGGATGGGACAGAGAGGTGGAGAGTATTCAGAGAGATTGAAGAATGGTCTAAGGTACAGATAGTGCTGTAAGCATGAGAGGTACTACTGGAAATATCTGGAGTTGAGGTCCTGCTAGTCTTATCTGTACAGAGGAAGGGTACCTCTATTCAAACTTTATGTGGCCTCTATGACATATATGGCCACAGTACAGCCAGATGTTATGACATCCCATGATAACACAACATCAGAACACTGACAGGCCACTGTTACCACCAACTGATGACACATCAGCCCAGAAGATATGTAAGGGCATTTTTAAAGCCCTGGCTCAGAATAAGGATGCCCAAATTTTTTTCCAGGGAACCTGGTATTGCGAAGGAGGCCACAGGCCCCATTTGGAGGAGTTGAGATAAAAAGCAGTAGGGTTTCACTAATATACTAGTGAAGTGATTCGTATCCAATACAAGTTAAAGAGACCCATTTTAAATTGCTGACCTGCCTAAAAGTAATGAATTTCAACAGCAACCAGATAATGATAACAATACCTGGAACTTACACAGCACTTTCCATCCCAAAGCACCTCTCTTTTGAATTAATCCTCAGAAACTCCAAGTTATGGAAATATCACCTATACTTGATAGACAGGGAAGGTGAAGGATGAAGGGGGAAATGAGATGATTAAGGTCACACAAGAGGTTGGTGACAAAGCTGAGGTCAGAATCTCACAATGTAAACTCGAGGGCTCAGGTCAGAAAAAGTCACTTTTTGTCTGAGATTTCTTTTAAGGTGGAGACTGAACATTGAGATAAGCACCAATGTCTGTGCTGACCATCCATATTAAAGAAGCTGCCAAGGGATTTCAGCAAGCTGATAAGATCCAGGCTATTTAAACTCTGCTTTTCTCTCCATAACTTCCACTTAAGATTTCCTGGTTCAGAATGCAAGGCAACATCATATGTTCTCAAATACTCACTGCTACTGTGATGTCACTGTGGGTGTGTGCAGACGTAACACTTAGTACATTCTAAATACAATTTAAACCCCAGGAGTCTAGACATACAGCCCACTGAAGACTGGCTTAAACTTCCTGGAATGTTTCAAAAGCACACCAGGAAAATCAAGTATTATTATGAGCTAGTCCCCCCAAAACAGGCTTAATGTTACATTGGGACAGACAGCATCCTGTGCCTAGTATCTGGTTAGCTTTCCAGACATCCCAAACTGCACTCCTCACTCCCTTTCTCTCCCCCACCCCAAAACATGCAGGGCAAGGGGCTGTTCTGGAATGGAGCCAGGACTCTATGATCCCAGTCCATATGCTACCAGCATCCTCTGGGCCCCGGGGCAGATAGACTGCATCATGGGAGCAGAAGCTAGGACTGTTTTTAAGTCACCAAATCAGGTAAGACTACCACCCACCCCACTCTTGGCACCTGCTCCCTTTCCCTCTTTCCACAAAAGCACAAAACCTCCCCTTTCATTCTTCTCCCCACCTGCCACTGCCACTGTCCCTGGCTACTCCAGGAACAGAGCAGGCTCGAGCACCACTCCTGCCCTGCTCCAGCTGGGAACAGCAGCAGGTGGGTTCCTTCTCTCTACCAGCCCCTTAGGTATTCCTTGCCAGCCTGGGTTGGTAGTGCAGGTAGAGGGCACCTGCCTGCCACCACTGTCCCCAGCTGAAGTGGGGCAGCAGCAGCAACTCTGGTGTATTCCCCTGCCCCTGATCAGCTGGGGACAGTGGGTACGGCAGCAGTGGTGGGCAGGGAGAAATGGGATGGGAAGGGTCATTCTACTGAAGATGGAAGGGAAGAGAGGGGAGATATTCTTACCTGTTTTGGGGACTGCTTCTCCCATGCCCAGATCTGAAATAGGGGCACAACCATACCCATGCCCCCCCTAGATTTGTACCTTCCAGGTGCTGGGGGGGGAAGAGGGCGTATGACCTTTCACTTGTGTTCCCAGGGGCCCCCCAAGATCTCTGCAGCTTTTCAACCCCTGCCTTGAAAGCCATGTTGTCAATTGCACTTGCCTGGTACAGGCCCTGTGCTCCATAGTACCAGCTCATTTTGGAGTGAGGAAGAAGGGTGGAAGGGTTGCCTGGTGCTGGGAGAGCTGTTTGGCTTGCCTCCTCCTCACCTAGGGTTGCCAATCCAAGAACATTTTTTTAAAGACAACCAAAATGTTGTACTGACATATGCTTTTATTGACAAACATTTTAAATAATGTAAATGTAACCCTTCTGCTAGATCCTGGACAAGGGCTGGACTAATATTTAGAGGTTTAACACCAACCATAATAAAAAAAGTTTTGCTGTCAGTAAAAAGTGTGCAGATTGTCAGCAAAAAAAAATCCTGGGTTGGCAACCTTGCTTGATTGTAGCAAAGGTTTTATAGAATAATTTGCCTACCCCACACTCATCCCCACACCCTGGTATCCCCTACCACACTGTGGTACCCCTCCTCATTCCCCAGCCTCACTGCTGCTAGCCCCATCTCCCTGATCTGGCCCAGATCCCAAAGAAGGATTACTGCAACCCAATTGTATTACAGGCAGGTCACTGGGCATGGAAGCAGCAGCAGCACATTGCTCAAGGGAGGGAGCTATAGGTTATAAAACCAGGACAGAATGTTTGAGGCAGGGTGCTGCACTCCTGACCAGAGATAAGGTGGCACTACTCTGCTCTGTCTGTATATCAAGGCATACCACTAGTCTCATTCTGATGAGCTGCAAGTAAGCTCAGGGATTATTAGTTTTTTAAAGTCAGCTCAATTTTTTAAAGCACCATATAACAGGTGTTTTTAGGTGCATCTTTTATGGACTGTCTGTAAATTTATGCACAGTTGGCAACCCTCCCCTTGCTGCAAATGCCCCTGGTACTATGAAGTATAGGGTTTCTAACAGAGAAGTGAAATTGGGAGCATTGCTTTCAAGGCAGGAGTTCAAAAGCCCCGCAGACCTTGGGGGGGAGGCAAAAGCATGGAGCTCCCTGAAAACCACAAGTGGGGGGTGGGGGGGAGGGCTACATGGCACTGTCAGTGCCTGGCAACCTCTCCATTCCTTTCTGGAAGATACAATGGTTTGGATACTCTACCACTCCTTGGTGGTGGGTTTTCAGAAGCAGTGCCATCCCTAAAAGGTGATGGTCCCACATAGAACCCTTATCAGTATATGTACAGACACTTCTGTCCAGGGACAACTATGAACTGGTTCCTGATCAGTGACATTCTTCGAACAGTTCAAGTGTTATGTCTGTCCACACCCTGTGATGTGCCCTGAGATAGTATCAGTGGAACAAGAAGCAGTGAAACAAATATCAAAAGCAGAGGGAAAGCATTTTAAAAGGTTGATTAAAAGTGTTGGATGGCCCTGGCTGCTTGGTTAAGAAGGACATTTGGCACAGAAATCTTGGCTTAGCTCAGTTACAATTTTTGCTGTATCATTTACCTTAATGGGCCACTAAGTCATACAGGAGGCAATAGACTGGAGAAAAAATGGGCAAAAAATCCCTGCCTGCTTATGAACTTGAACAAATATAGATAAATATTTATATACATATTTTAAAAGGGACAGACCATGACTTCTCCACTGGACAGAAATATTTGGCACTAAAAGTCCCACAAAATTTCTAAAAGAAATTAAAAAAACCCACCAATCCTTAAACTCCAAACAGCTTCTATGACTTTAATTTCACATCCAAGCATATGTTTCGTTTACAGTGCATATAATAATCATGTTTAATTGGATTTATTTTGCCATGCTATGTTCCCAATGGCCTACTTTACTCCTTTTTTCGGCTCCTTGAACATTATTTGCAAATCACTCTCTGGGATTTAATTTTAATGGTAGCTTGATTTCTTTTTTGCTTCTCTCTCTCTCTTTCTCTCTCTGGCACTTTTCTTTAATAGTATTTGCAGATTTACTTCTAAATAGGCAATTGTAGCCACATCCTGAGCCTGAATACTTGCCAGCAGAAGATCTTGATTTGAAAATGTAGGGTGGGGAAGCTGAGCTGTTGGGAAACACCCATTGCTATTGTTCATCTCCTTGAAGGACAAGCAGGTGTTTTACTTGGGCACTCCGCCACTTTCCTGAGTCTTCTAATAATGTTTTGG